ATATAGTTATATATATATACATCAGTTTTGGTTTCTATGCATATATATAGTTATATATATACATACATGTGTTTTTGAGTTTTCATGTTTATAAATATGAAATCATATATTTCATATTTACTATTGTGTTTTTGAAATCACTGCATAGAATATGCAATTTTGTAAAAATTCTGTATTCTTAGTTTTTGGACTTAACAATAATCATATACATATTTTATTAAGTCTACAAAATCATTGTGCAAAGTTTTAAAACATGGTTTAGCCAAAATATTAAAATTCACATGTTTACATTTTCGTGTTTTGCACTATTTTGCAAAATGATGATTTTTCACAAATGAGAAATGCAATTTGGAAAATTCTTTTTGTAACATGTTCATTTACATGTTTATATACATTTCCCAAAGTTTTATTATTTTTGGACTTCATTTGTTATTTTTAACAATTTTCCAAAGTCTCAAAAACCAGCTTTTAAAAACCTGTTTTACTGTGTATCAGTAGCAGAGAGTTTGTCGGTCAACCGGTGCGGTCGACCGAGAGCTCGAAATTTCCATCGGTCGACCGCACCGGTCGACCGAATAAGTCTCTATGCGTTTTCTCCGTTTGGAACCAGGATCGCGATCGACCGCGAGAATTTCCGGTTGACCGCCACTCTGCCAATGTGACCGTTGGTTCCCTAACGGCTATTTTCTGATCTGATTTTTTCTGGGACTTTTTGGACTTTTACTTATGGGTTTTGGCTGAGATTTTGAATGAGCATAAATACCCCGTTGCTGTTCTCTTTCAAGTAATCCAAGAAGTTTTTAAACAAGGTTTTAAATAAGGGTTTAAGCTTGTTTAGTTTTGGTTTAAGTTTGTTTTGGGTTTTCTGTTACAAAGAGGAGTTTACATCAACTATTGAATAGTTCATCTTCAACATTTCATCATCCTCTCTTTGTGTTTTCAGAGAAGAATCTCTAAACTCTATTTCTAGCTATTTATTATTTTATTCATAAATTTCTATATGCTAGATTTTAAATTGAGTTTAGTTTTGACTTATTGAATCTCATTGTTACACACACCCACATGAGCTTATTGTATTTGCATACATAGTATATTAGGGTTGTGAGAGATTGTAACATTGAGTTGTGCTTGATTGAGTTCTCATCTATTGTAGAGAACAAAATTATATTTATTACATTGTGAGTGTTGTAGGTTTTCGGTGAGCTAGAAAACCGAGTGTGTTGTAAAGTTTTCGGTGAACTAGAAAACCGATTGTGAGGAGTGACGTTGTTCGGTGAGCGTTGAAAACTGATACTATGAGGTGTAAACGTTATTCGGGTGAGCGTAGAAAACCCGGTTGTGATAGTGGATTCTCCCCAAGAGTGGGGAGCGGAGACGTAGGACGGAAGGTCCGAACTCCGTGATCATATAGTGTGTTTGAGTGTGCTTTGACGTTCATTTATATTTATGTTCATATCTTATATCGCCATTTTCCATAACTCATTATTTATATGATCCACTATTTAGTTCATATTGTTTACCCCTTGTGTTAGTTTTATATCCTTGCATATACATATATCATATTGTATATCTCTTTGATAGGATATATCATCTTGTGTTAGTTTATATATCCTTGCATATATATATTCATCATATAGGATATATCTCATTATTCATATTGCTTATCCTAGCTTATATAGTTGTTATATTTCATACTTGCTAGGATAACTTGTTAATTAGTTTTTATTGGCATATAATCGGACTAGATTAGCATAAGACCCTAATCAACCCCCCCCCCCCCTCTAGGGTATAACATTGTTTATAAAAGATTTTCCATAAAATAAGATTAATTATTTATAAATAATACCTTGCATTCACTTCCCTCCAGTATCATTTATTTTAGGTAACTCTTTTGAGCATGTCAATTCACCTATTTTCTCATGCCTAATTGCAATTCCCATAAACATAAATAGAAATCATTTTGAAACATCAAAATATTTTATTTTTATAAGAAAATAAATTTAAAACAAAATATTTTTTAAAACTACCTACGAGAAGGAATTCAATAACTTCGTGAGAGTTTATAATAAATTAACTCATCATAATGAGCATATTGGATCTTATCTAGATATCCATCATTTCCCTAAAAGAAATTTAGTAATCCAACGTTTCAGGTTGTGTAGCGCTTGCTAAACAAGCTTAACCATCACATCAAATCAAAGATGACAATATTATCAAGTCAAGTGGACCATGTAATAATTTGAATTTTTTATCTTTTATGTGACTCCTCCTAGAAAATTTAAATGTGATCTAGTGCTACACACATCACAATGTGTGCTTATGACATACATTCGGAGAATCTTCATTCCCGATGGTTAAGACCCACCACCACATCTCACATGCCGATGTCATGGATAATAACATGTTATAACAAAGTTATCATTTACTAATTATAGGTTAAGCACAAGTTTAAGAAATTTCTAAGTTAGATCACATCTCAAAACAAGTGATATATCACAATGCATGATTTAACAAAACAATTTCTAAGAATGCTATAATAGTTAGAGAAATAATACTCAAAATATATGTGCAACAATTAAATCCATTAATATTACATAATTTATGTTGGATGTTCAAGGGCATGATTGCTATTCCAGCATATAATTGGTCAAATGGTTTTCTAGGAAAAAAGGTGAAAAACCTTATGTATGACTAATAAAAGAATTATTTATTATCGCGTGCTTATTTAGATAATAAAGAAATTCAAATTCTTACTAGATAATTTCACCTAAGATAGAAAAGGCGGGAAATCATCTCTATATATTTGAACTCCGGGATGCTAACCATGCATGTTTTAATATTGAATTTCCAATTCTATGAAAAAACAACATTAATATTTTTGATCATTTTAGTAGCCTATATATCTTGAGCAAATGTTATACGTTATCTAGTTACAGAATTTCAATAAATAACAATTCATTAACAGTTTTCACCTAAAAAGAAAAAAAAAGTCATTAGCAATTTCTAAAAATTTAGAGGCAAACCCAAATGAAGCAAGGGCTCCTTTTCTTTTGTACATCTAATTACTGCTTGAGTCGGTTGCCTTGTCCAAGATCGCAGACGGAATTTGGGAACAAATTCGGAGTCGTGAAATCCTAAGGGCCCGTTTGGTTGTATGTTTTTACCATGTAAAAGGATGTAAAGTGTAAAAAAGTGGGTCCCAATGTCAGCTTTCATCACTTTCAATTGTTTGTTTGTAGTTGTGAAAATAGTGTAAAGTGATTTCATATGCTGATATGGCTTGTAAAGTGATTTCATAAAAAAAGACATGATTTTAGGAGAAAGCTGACATTAAAGTCTGGAAAAAATATTTCCAACCAATATGATTATTTGAATAGGGACCACTTTTTACACTTTTCAAACAAACAATTAGGGGCTGTTTGGTTCCTGTTTTTTGGGTGGTAAAAATGGAGAAAGCTGTCAAAAATGTCAGGTTTTTGGCAGCTTTCCCCCAAAATCACCTATT